ACAAAAGGAAAGGAGAGCGAAAGACAGACCGACCGACCGACCGACCGTCTCCTTCTAAGCAAAAGAAAGGAGAGCGTGGCTGACCAGAGCCTCTCAGCCACACCTAGGAAAAAAAAACACGGGGCCCTATATGGTAAGTTAATTGAATTTCCTTAACAGCAACCCAGCTTAGTCTTCGTCTGTAGAGCATACCCTTGCAGCACCGCTGTCTACCGTCCTGCCTGCGCCTGCCAGATGCCCGTGAAGAGGCAGGGGCCGAGGAGGCAGCCAACCTTGAGGAACTGAAATCAAAGTACCATATCATGGGTATATAGTAAATGACAGGGTGTCCTTGTTATAGTAGTTATGGGATTTCAGCCCAGCAGAGGAGACAAGGACTGCTGTAAGACCCTCCATCTAACCTCGCGCAGCGTCAAGTGCAGCATCCGAGGGTAAGCCAGCTAGGTAAGCTTGCGAAAACATCCCCAAACTTGTAATTGATAGCCGGCCAACCAGAAGTGCGCATGAGGGAGCTTGGTTCAGCTGCCCAAACCATGCCGCCTCTCGAAAGGGGGTTGGCATTCAGCCCGTCGCATCAAAAGGGGCTTGTTTACCCCAGCTGAGCTGGGCCTTACTATAATTGCAAGCTTAGCCAGCTGCCAGGACAACAGGAGTGTTGACTGTCGAGGCTCTGGCAAAACAACTCAGGGAATGCTCCAGGGTTTACTTCCTCTGCCTTGCATCGTTGTAGCATCCAGCCTTCTCTGCGTCTGTGGCACCGACAGAAGCATGGAAGTCCTCTGCTGAGCGAAGTTTGTTACACCATGACAATCTAAAGCTTCGATGACCAGTCTAACATGAGTTCGTCAAGGCTGGGCGTACCATAACGAGCAGCATGTCGCTACTAAGCAAGCTAGTTATCGCCGAGCGTTGATTTTGCCAACTTGGCTTTTCCATTGTCCCGATATAACCCCAATATAAACCCGATGTAACCCTGTATACTACAGTAGTTTCCATTCTCTTTTCCATTATCCCTGTATAACCCCAATATATACCCTCTAACCCCAATAGTCCAAAGGCCAAACCCCCTGCTTCTCGCAGCCGAGAATCGGACACATACTGCAGCATGAGCTGCATGGACATGGATCCAGTCACGAAGCCCCAAATCCTTGCGTGCTGCTTCAGAGCGCAGCATCACCAAGGGCTGCTTCAAAGCGGTTAACGCTATGAATGCGTTGCTAGCTTTTCTGAGGCTTTCTTCCTGCACAACACTTCGAACAGAAGTAAATGCTGCGTGGCTCGCGCCCAGGCTTAAGAGACCCATGGTTGATTGCAAAGGATGCAGGGTGCAAAACTCACACGGCTAAACAAGAATATGACTGTAGGACAGCTGCGGTGTAGGGCTTCTTGCTTCAGTAATTGAAATGACTTTCCATCAGCTCGCTGAAGGGCCAGCCCTTTACAGCCCATCCCTACTTTGCAACGCCCTGCGATGATCAATGCGTTCCTGCAAAGAAGCATACTACTGAAGGTCTCCTTCGTGTCTGCCCAACAAAAGACGACTACGCACGAAGGGCAGATAAGGCATCGTGTGCTTGCATGCTACGCGTGTTGAGAGATTTGGAGCGGCTGCATGCTGCTGCATCATCATCACCCTACTCATCATCAGCACCATCCTACTCATCATCATCATCATCATCATCCTCATCATCTGCTGCTGCGGCTACTGCCGAGCTTGGCACCAGCAGAAACAATTCCGCAACCGCTCTTCTCGTTCTACTCTGAACCATGTACTTATAAGTACTGCCAGTGCAAATTTCAGTGGGTGCAGATGCATGTGACTGCTGACTCCCAATTAATTAGTTCTTCCCACACGCGGAACCATTACGTACGGCGCTACATCGTGCCTCTTTGGTCATTGACACCTTTAAACTTTATAACCAGTCCAGGCACATGACGAAGAAATGGTCAATTGTCAAAGCCATGAAGAGGCCGAAGACAGAGGCACCAACTATCCTTGGCAGCCATTCTACTAATCACGTCGCAGCTGAGAACCAGATTATAGGACTGTGGCGTGGCAAAGGCCCTACCTTTCAGTCATGCAGATTGCGGCGGGCTACATGTGAAGACGACTCCGTGGTCATCACAAAGTTTGAGTGCGGTGGCGAAGGAAGTTCAGCTCCTGAAGAGCTGGCTACTGTGGCAGACTAGGTCAAATTCTGTGGGCTTCTGCAAGCACAGTATGTGTTGCCTCCACAAAGAATTGCTGAACTTGCTTGAGGCTCGTTATCAGGGCTGCCTTCGGTGAGAGACAGCTCGTCAACTTCTTTACCAGGTAGATTCCAGCAGGAGTGATGCAGCCCCCAACCACGGCCACCACACTGCCAATGAACAGATTCGAAGCAAAAATCGCCTACAGGGAGGGAGCCGTTATACGAGCCATAGTCTAAACTCCTGGTATCCCCCTTAATAGCCCCTATAGTAGTCCCCAGTATAATCCCCTATATAATCCCCTCTAAGGAGTTTAGACTATAGCTCATGTGGATCATGATTTCTGTCACTCGCGCAGCTCCCATTCTACCCATTGTTGCCAACATGAGCCGCCTGCACAAACGACTGAATGAAGCCCGCCGACAGAGTGTGCATTGACAAGATGGCGCAGAGCATCTTCAAGTCTCTGGGCACCGGCCGCACATCGGTCTTCGCATTGGTTTCCGCCATGGCTTTGTGGCAAGGCTACAGTCAAGCCCCCAGATTCTGCAGACTAACACAACATGTGCGATGGACTCTGGCTACTTGCTCGTCATGGCTTGTACGCACCAAACTGTGGCGGCAAAATGTGGCAAAAAGCCAGTGGTAGTTATGGCAGCCCGTTGCAAGATACTGGCATGGCATGCGACCCTGCTCTGCTTCGGGAAGACTGCCGGACAAGCTGTGGAATTCATCTCCTGCCTTGTACAAGCTGAGAATCTCTTCATTACCTCAGCTTGCACCTCCCTCATCTATTCGGCTCTAGGGGTTATATTGGGATAATGGAAAATCAAATGGAAACTACTATAGGGTTTAGGGTTTAGGCTCTAGGGGTTATATTGCATGTCTGGACCTTTCGGTCAGAGCTATTAACCCGAAAGTTGTGGATGAAATTTCTGCTGCAGAGGCTGGTGTATTCCACTGCCCAAAAAAAAACCAAGGTGCCAATGCGAGGCATGTCGATTCGGACAAGGTTTGGAAGTCCTGGGTAAGGCCATGGAAAGGTTGTTGGTAATATTAGGGTTATTTTGGGGTTATATGGGGATAATGGAAAACAAAATGGAAACTACTGTATTCTATATGGTTCCTAAAAGATTGTATGACTCGCCCAGGCTTGCAAAGCTCCGATGGGGTTTAGCAGCTCGCTTTCGCGCATGACCCTCAACTTACACGGCTGTCCTCCAATCCACGGCAAGAAGGGCTCGCCACCAGGTGGGGGGCCGTGGCGGAAGTCAGGTCCTTGTGCAGCAACTCAAATGGCTTTGGACGCTCTAGGGAACTGGGAACTGTGGACTCATTGTCTTGTAATCCCTTCAGCTATAATGACACGCCGCCCTCTCCCTAATATGAAACATTCTGAGCATTTCCATGTGCTGAAGGGATACTGTCGAATTACGACTAGGGGAAAGGTCCGATTCTCTGTTGGGGGGACCCGGGGAAGGGAAGAGAAGCTGGCGGCCCTTAGGCAGGATAAACAAAGTGTGGTGCAGCACGCTTCCAATGCTGCTTCTCGTCTCGGGAATGTTGGTATCAAACTGAAAGAAGCCTTGCTGTCGGTCCTAACTCTCTGACTTTCCAGGCATGCCCACTTCTGAGTCAAGGATCCGAAGATGAAAGCTGCTTTGCCATAAAGCGACAGAGCCGGGTAGACAGCCAGGCCAAATGGGAATTCCTGCTCTCAGGCATGACATGACAGGGGAGCACCTCACTGGCGCAACCTTCTGCAACAAATGAGCAAAGTTGCCATTTTGTCAAAAACAACCGTAGGATCTGACCCGTCTGACCCGACAAAACGTGAAGTCGAGCCCCGATCTGGGAGGGAGGCGGCCCCCCACCGGCTGAGCCTCTTCAGCAAAAGCCTTCGCCCACACCCCATTCGTGCCGAAGAAGATCTCCCGGCTGTCCAGGTCCACAGCCACACCCACCTTGGGACTTGTGATTCACTATATGGAATAAAATGGAGAATGAACTGGAAACTGGCCGTCTGTTGTGTTTTATAGGGATTGGGGTTGTGTGCCAACTACAGAAATGGCGCAGCCTGTCTCCCAAGGAAGGATATTGTCTGCTTCTTCTGGGCAGCTTAATTTCCTGTGTACGGCAGTGCACGACTGCCAAGAACTTCTGGAAAGGCTTGGTGCGGATGTGGAAAATCAGCCCCAGAAATCACTATAAATTGTACTTCTCCGGGTCCAAGGAACGATGACCTCCTCCTTCAGAGTGCGGTCGGCACCTCAACAGCCCCCATCTATCCGGCAACACAAACGATTCAAGGGAGTTCATCATCAACCTCTTCAGGAAGATGCTACCCTGACACCCCCCCCAGAAGCTCATCCAGCAGGCACCTGAACCTGCCGCTGGCCAAACCTGACACCAGGAGGTGTTTGTGCCGCCGTGCCACCTGGCATCCACACGCCATGCTTTGTTTGTTCTATAAGGGTTACATAGAGTCATAGAGATAGTGGAAAAGAAAATGGAAGCTACTTTATAAGGGTTACATAGGGGTATATAGGGCTTTCTGACTGAAAGCTGAAGATGCTCCTTGCCTCCATGCACAAAGAGAAAAGGAGAGCCCGGGATTTTGCAGACTAGGAAAGCCGCACAGGGGTCACCCAGCCTATAGTCCGAACCTTCAGGGTGGAAGGGAAAAACATGCTCGATTTCAGAGCCCTGCACAGAGTTTGCCAACTAGCTATAACAGCACATTGACATAAGCTGCACCACCTACTGGCTTGTTATTAACGAACTTAAAACAGGTTACTCGCATAAGGACACCTTGTTATTCACTATACATACCCATATTATGGTAACTCAATTAGAGCTCCTTAACAGCAACCCAGCCTACACCCCCAGCATCATCTAAGGCCAAGAGGTGATGCGACGTCCCCTGCAAAACCCAATCTGTCTTGCAACAACTGTAGGGCCTGGGGGGGTTGGGCTAATGATAGCTAAAAATGGGCATTAGGGTTTAGGGTTTAGGGTTGGAAGCTACTCTTGTTTAGGGTTCATATTGGGAAATGAAATGGAAGCTTTTGTGTTTTAGGGTTCATCGTGGAAGATGTAATGAAAACTACTGTTTTGTGTAGATTAGGTAGGATTAATTTTCCTTTATTCCCTACTAACCAATAAACCTGAAGTACAACTTGGACCTGGAGGAGTTGAGTCCATCCACTGCCCAGCCGTGGGCATCGTCCCCGACGCCTGCAAGGTGACTTCATGTAAAGCTGGCGCCCCAGGCGAGAAAAAGGAAGAAGTACAGTGTATACCCCAAACTGCAGAAGCAATTTCATGACAATCACACTGCAGCAGTAGCAGCACGTGATCATGTCAAGCTCAAGGTTTGAATTTCATGGTCTCAGGTACCATTCCCTTTCATCTACCTTGGAGTTTCAACTTGAAGCGTCTGGCGGCATACGTCCCGGCAACGTAAGAGCCTATGTCAGAGGCCTTCCTTCAGTGCGATTTACCACTGCGATTGCCAGAAACGCTTCACGAACACAGCATTCTGACTGGCAAGGAGAGAGAACACGTTTGGAGCGCGTCGAAGATTGGAGCCCTTGACATGCTGCACATCGTACGGCCTCTCAACGGCAAGGTTACGGGCAACAATGAAGTTGGTAGATTTGGTAGCCTTTACTGCTACGCGTCAGATCCGCGCATGACAACAAGTGATCCAGATACCCTCTGAACTTGCACACATGGCACACATTGAGACGTAGCACTGCACACTCCTTGAGAAGTAGCCCATACCTCCGATGCAAGAGCGGCGATTTTCACGACCTGGAAATGCAAAGCTCCTAGCAATTACCAAAGCGCATTCTTGCTGCGCTCCTCTACATGCATGTCACGGCTCTGGGAAGCGCCATCGGCGGTGAGACCAAAGGCTTCGCCCATTCTGCCCAGTGAAGGCCCTGCCCAGTTGCCAAGCAAGGGTGCGTCGTCTACCTCCTCGGTGTCCACAGCCTTATAGCCCATAGCAGCTTTGTACCATGGAACTGCAGATTTCGTCGACTCTAGGCGAGCTGATTTCGAGGAGCCGCCAGCAGACACCAAACTCTGCGCAGCCCGCGAAACTTGACTGACTGCTGCTGGCCTCTTCTGCAACCTCTTGGCTTCGCCAGAGAGGATTGAGTTCACTTGCTCTTGGGTGAGCGGAAACTCAACTGGATTTGCAATTTCGGCCTGCAACTCCTTTTCCCAGTGGCTCTGATTGCCGCCATGTGAGTAGTTCAGCAACACAGTCAGGTTTGAAAGAAAGTGTACCAGCCAGCCCTTCAACGGAAAGTCTGCCTCATGCACGCCATCAAAAGGATAGTTCAAGCTGCAAAGCAGCTCAAACAGACCCAAGATAATCAACAGGGATGCTGCATATGCAAGAGGTGCAATCCATGAGTCGCAAATGCCCATGCAAAGACCCAAGTAGGCCACTGTCAAGGTCACCAGCATACTCAGCAAGTGAAAATACTCAAAAGGTAGCATTGCATTTGCTGCATCCAGCAATTGGAGCTGGTAAGACTTGCAGTCTACCAGACGCTGCAACACCTCCCTCTGCGTTGCTGGTGCAACATCCGCCTTTCGCATTCCGTGTAAGGCACAGTCGCAGGCGGTATGCATCATGACAAGTGTCCGTTGCCTCGCTGAGAGACATCCAGGATCTAGAAATTCGGCTTCCCCAGGCCGGATAAACTCAAGGTCCACCAGCTTCAGGAGATCCATCTGTTGAACTGCATCATCTTTGTAACTTCTTAAAATCTGGCATAGAACCAGGACCGAGGATCCCACAGCCCAACGGCAGCCCAGACGGTCATACGGCTCGTTTTCCTTTCGCAAGAATAGCCGGGCCTCAAAGGCAAAATCGTAGACACTGTCCATCATCTTCCTGACCAAGTGGCCCAAGTGCAGATATCGAAAGTATGCCTGATTGATGGCAAAGCACAGTGCGCATGACATCAGGATGAACATCAGCTCTATGTCGGACCATTCGAGCTCAAGCGTGCTGAGCCTCCATCCCTTCTCCTTCTTGTCCATATATCCATCGATGTAACCATTGTTGTAAACCGCAAATACGCACAAGTGAAGTGACAAGAGCAGCCAGAAATCCTTCCGAACCAAGACCTTCGGGCCAACCGAATGGCCGAGCCGAAGCATCGTCAGGAAGTAGGCTCCCTGAGGGCTGTAGAAGCGACTTGAGGCCAAGGGTGGGATCGGAAGTTCATCAGCTGCAGAAAGATAAGAACCACCGGCGCCGTACATGCTTCGGACAAATTGGTTCATTGCCGAGCACGGACAAAATGCCGAGCAGCTGCTGGCTGGTTATGTGATTCATCACTGACTACACTCCTGGGCCAAATGCTCGAGAGGTTCACGATGACCACTATGCTTTCAAACGAATCACTCACGCTGAGCGCTCAACTTGTCAACTGACTGAAAGCAACAACTTGGCTTCCATGTCACTACACGTTGCTAGCTAGGCACTGCTTCCGCAACTCAAGCAAAGCTGCAAGAAAATCGGGCGGGGGGTACCAAAACTAGGGGTGTCATTTTGCAGGTCCATACAACGACTAAAGTCTATATCGCCCCATACTTCGGGAAACTACCATATGCACCCAATAACAATTTAGGAGTTTCCATTTCGTTTCTACTATTCACTATATAACCTCTATATAACCTGTATTCGGGTCCCCGTATTCATGGGAAACCCCCCCAGACTCATTTTCGATGTCTGCCAAAAAGTCGCTCAGGCCTTGCGTGCTCTTCGCCCCGGCACGGACCTGAAAAGCTCCAGACTTGGACGGATAGGTTTTAGGGCTTAGGTTCTCACACGAATTTACACATAACATCCTCCAATAGGGAAGGGGGCTGCTGAAGATGTTGCAACAAGGCTCCCGCCTCAAAGCCCGTGCTAAGCAGTCCAATTTGTGGGGCGCGGCACTCCTAGTAGGGCAACATGCCAGACCGAAACTCTGCTAGCAGACTCTCAGGCGATACATGAATGCGAGGCTTGACAATTGTCCCCAAAGACGACGCTGTCCTTGAAAAGCTGAACCTCGAAGAAAAGGCGGCCGCTGTCTTGCGCATAGTCTGGAAAGCCCACGGTCACCCACTCCGACCTGCGGCGCGACAGCTATTGCAGCTGACTTGGCCCGTTTACGACTCGACTTCCTTGCAGATCCAGGGGACACTTGTTAGGGGGACTAGGAAGCATTTAAACCCAAGCATTTAAATATTGAGGTAGGGGTTCTTATTGTAAAGAAGTTAAATGCCTATAGTTAAATGCTTCCTAGGGTTCCTGAACTTGGGCACAAGAGGCCTGCACGATTCAAGCTCTAGAAGGACAGCATAGCAGAAATTGACCAAAGCTGTTCCCGGGACTTCAGGATGTTTGTTGGCTGGTGGCAGAATCTGCCATTTACTTTCCAGAGATCTATATCCTGATGTAATGCCTACATAATTCCCATATGAGCCATTGTCTAAACTCCTAGTATCCCCCTTACTAACCCCTATAGTAGCCCCATATATAATTCCTTATATATCCCCCTTTAAGGAGTTTAGACTATAGCTCATATTAAAACCTCCAGATAATGGAAGACTCTCGACTCAACCTCCTGCGATTTTTCACCCCGAAGGGCGTGCTTTCATCCACCTCCGGAACAGTCTTGGGCCTCCCTGCCTTCAGGATTCTTTGTCATCATCATGGTGTAGGATAATAACAGGGTACCTGAAATAAACCTCAAAACGATACTGATATTAATTTAGGCTTGTACACTAGGTCCCCTTGGCTCAGGATTGTCTGTGTATAGTCCCCCTTAAGTAGATAAATTATGGCTTTGGGTATATTATAATAAGATCCCCATATACCCCATATTCTATATACCTAAGGGGGACTATAACTAGAGCAACGACACTTGCAGATTCAGGACACACACGCGAGGCTGAAACTGAATCTTTTGAGAAAATCTCAGCAGACACCAGGTGATGGTGAGGGCTTAGGGTTTAAGGCTCAGGGTTTAGGGCTTTGGGTTTAGGCCACAACAGCGGCTCAGGGTTTAGGATTTGGGGTTTAGGGCCACAACAGCGTAGTCGGCCCATTCAGAGCGTAATTGAGTAAACCCACCTCCAGAATTGTTTGTTTGAAGACTCGTTGAGATGTCTTCTGTGCGGTCTAAAAATGACCACGATTTTCTACTCTACTTTAATTTCCTGTTCTTGCTGTTATTACGCTTATGCCAATGACAACTACCACTATTACAGCTGTTATTACCGCTCTTACCATAGGAAATAATGAAGAGGCTTGTAATTCTCGTCTTACTACTATTCCATCTTCCCACAATCTTTCACCCTCAACTCAACCATGAACATTCATGAGCACGCAACATAAACCTATAGACCCCAAACACCAAACCTGAGCTCCCTGGAAACCTGAAATACTATGGTAGCTTCCATTTTCTTTTTCCATTCCCCTACCTAATTCCTACATAACCCTAGTTCCCACGTCATCTTGCATTTGATTCTCAGGTACTCTCTGGAGAGACCTAAAGCACCAGGAATTCTGAACTTACCGGTTCTCAGTAGGGAATCATGAATAATCAGGGGGATATGTTCCCTACATATGATATTCCCAGCTCAGGTTCCCTACCCTAAACTCTAAACCCTACATTTTCACTACATTCCCATATTACCTACTAAGCAAATGAAAGTCAAAAGCTCGGCTTCGCGCGTGGGATCTGCTGTGCTGCCGCGCAGCAGGCGCGGAAGCAGGTGCGGTCCCTGCGCTAGATTATTAGGGGTACGTTTAAAGGGGGATGTAGGGGGTATATAGGGTTATATAGGGATATATGGGTTTAGGGTTTAGGGTTTCCCAAAATTAGGGGGTACCTTTTTTTGGAGGTCCCTATAATATGGATTACAACATTTTGGGGTCTATATTGGGGTCCCCAATTTTGGCAAACGATGTGAGGTCTTCTCAAAATGGGAATGATAACAATGAAGACGGCAATAGCACTAGCAATAATAACAATATAATAAGAAGAGCCGCAGCAGCAGCAGCAGCAGCAGCAGCAGCGGCAGCATCAGCGGCGCCTCAGCAGTAGTAGCGCTAGTACGGGCAACATTAAGAATACTAGTAGTCGTCGTGGAAGTTGTCGAGGTAGACATAGTCGTAGCAATCAAGAATAATGGCAGTAGCAGGCACAATGATTACAAAAGGATGGCGAGCTGCATCTTGAAGTGAGTGCTATGCCGCAGTTCCCGCTGATGGATTGGGCATGTCAGCTGCTTAGCGCTTGCTTTGGCGATACGCCCAGGTGGAAAAGCAGCAATGCGCTTTGGACACTCATCCGGTAAAGCCAATGAATACCCGAATCGAGACAAAACTGCCACTCACTGCTATCAGCTACAAGCCAAACCTACATTTGGACTACAAGCAACTACGTGCTTTTTTGACACAAACTTCAGAAAATGAACATGCATGTGCATAAACGCCTTGGACTTTCTATTGCTGTTGATCTACTGCCAGAACAGCCCTGCTTTGCCAACAGAATCGAAGACCAACATGAGCCACTGTTGTTCTCATCATTATTATTATTGACATTATTCCTATCTTTATCACCATTATTCTGATTACTATGCGTTTATGACTATTGCTTGTAACTTATAGCCCTGGAGCCTCACTTGGGGCGGTTGCGGCCATGGCTACCTCCACCAGGCCCTGAGCGCTGGCTTCTTGGAGAGCGAGAACGTCACAGGCTTCAGGATCTCAAGACGGAGTGGGTTTAGGGTTTTAGGGGTTTATAGGGTCTAGGGGCTTAGGGTTCAGAGAATGTCTAATGTTTTCGCCTGACCTACGGACAGCAAAGACCGCAGCAGCTGAAAGGGCAATAGGAGCCTACAAGTTGTCTCGACCTGCCAGACTATATCCCAGACCTACTCAAGAGAGCCTGGAGCTCCTTGTCGTTGTATTCGAGCAACCTGGGTGCCAGCATCAATGCACAAGCTTGATCTCTATCTTCTCAAGAAAACGCCAGAAACAAAGGTAGACACATACAAAATCCCAATTACCCTTCGGTTCGCTGGCTTACAGCACGGCTGTTTGCGTGCAACGGGGGGGCGGGCATGGATCCATTAAACGGGTTGCCTTCGCCGGGCCTCCTGCAGTTCACAAGAACAGATTAAGCTGCAACGGCCTCGAGCCCGAAGCAGATCTATGGTGCTGAAAGCATGTAGCTGTGATGTTAGCGATATGTTCGCTGTGGCCAAGAGGTTATGCCAGCATTTAGACCTTACGGAGGCTTAGTCCGTTCACAGACACTTTGAAGCACCGTACGCTGAAGTGACACTACCCAGCACAGCTTCAAAGAGGACACTTGACCCGTAGCATCCACATCCGATACCTCAATTGGAGTCATGCAAGTGTAAATGCAGATAAGCTGCACATGCCCATACTTGTCCAGCACGCCAAGACGCTGATGCTGCATGCCTGAAAACAAACTTTCGGAATTGTTGGTCACGCTGGGGTGGGCGGCAAGCTTACGGGACTTTAAAACGGTTCTCGCTTAGTAGCAGCAGCAGTTCTGGCGCCTTATCTGCCCCTGATTCAGCCAGCCATCAGGAAGCCACTGGGCGCTGGGCATACTACTCCACGTATTACAGGGACGTCTGTGTCTTCGCACCATGAACACCACAGGAGCTGCAGCCTCCTGAGTCCGTGGAGCAGAAAGTGCATCTCAGGCGGACATCCTGCCAGGCGCCATCCCCTGAAACTGAGAATACTTCACGAATCACAGTCACCCTTAACCTCAGGCAGCCTTCATTTGTATAAGCATCCGATTCGTTTTTGTATTTGTATCTCTAGAACTTATGTTTATGCAAATTGTCATACTTTCCATTTTTTCCATTATCCCTAGATAATCCCTACATAACCCACATACTATACCTAAATAGTAGTTTCCGTTTCATTTTCCATTATCCCAATATAAACCCTGTATAACCCCAAAGGGGTTAGCTCCTTGAGGACGAGGTATGAGTCACCATACTGGCGTGCCCGGACCACACCTTGCAGGTGCTGATTTCATGGCGTGGAACAGAGATCTCTACATCAACTGATACGCTCTAAGGCCTTAACTCTAAACCGTAAAAAAATGGCACAGCCCTAAACCCTGAAAATACGATTCAAAGGTAATTAATGTGCGAAACGGTTTTTGTGCAAAGAACTGCTCCACTTGAGCTCAGGCTGTGCTTGCCAAGACTTGCAACATAAGCGGCCATGGCCTCGGTAA